TTCAGCAAAAATAATAGAATCACCACCTCTATTCCCCCCCTACCCCCCCCCCACCCCCGCTCAAAAAAAAAAGATGATTTAGGCAAAACAAAAAATCACTTTCAGCTAAAAATGACTTGGGTCATTATATTATGAAGATCACAATATTTATATATCAATTACAAAAATGCAGTAATGTTTGTATGAGTCACAGCATAGCATAAGCTTACCAGATTGGGGTATATTTATTCGCTAGTAAGAAATGGAGGTGCATTATAGCACACTGCAAACATACAAATTCTGCCAAGTGAAAGTTGATGCGTCTGCCGAGAAGCTTTGAAACGCTTGGTGCACAGCCAGATTCGTGGTCATTTAAGAGCTCCATCACTGGTGCCTCATCTAGATAGAGCTAGAAGAAGAAAGCCACAAACACTTAATAGGAAGAACTGAGAAGAAATTTTCACAGATTATTTCAAAGACAAAGCATTAAAGAAGTCCCATAAAGAAATTTAGAGATGCCACATGCAGCAAAGATAATTAAATCCAACACCGCTTCACATGTATCGCAATTAGTTTTAGAGTAGTGCACAATACGCAGGTTTTGAATTCGCTGCACTCTGCACTGTAATAGCAGTGGTTTAAAATATCTGCGTGTTTTCCATAAAATATAATGGGCTGCTTACTTTTCCATCGCAGACGTTTTTCACTTAATTCTGCTATTTGCAGAAAGACACGTGTTATTAAGCTATTTGAAGTCTGGAAAGCTGGAACTAATCCAGAAAGAAACATTTCGGTGCATCTTCAGCTCAGACGATGTGTAAGTGGTACGAGGCTGTGAAGTCGATGGGAGGAAGTCTGTTATAAATATTTGGTTTGATTTTGGAAGTTCTTGAAGCAGCTCCACATTAGGGGAGACCGTGACCTTGTAAGCCGGAGTTTGTGGAGTATGATTTCACGCTGGCTGTGGTGAAGGATGTTTTGGCAAGAGTGCGAAAAGGCAGGCTCTATTTTATTCCACCGCTCTTGGATTCCTGTGACTGTAGGGGCAAAGATCCTGTCCAGATAGCACTGAGAGTGGAAATCTGATGAGAAAGAAGAGGACCTGTGCTGTATATTACGAGGAAACAGCAGGGTCAGATCCCACCTGAAGCAGTCGCTCTCATAATCACTGTCCCAGTAGGATATGTCAACTCAAAAGGTTTTGTTTTCCTATGTGAATTTAGAACGTCTTTCTCTTGATGGACATTCACTTTGAGCTCTTCACGAAGAAGACCTGGCTGCAGTATAAATTGTATGTCTTTGAAAAGGGTAAAAAGTGCACATGTCAGAAATAATGAAGCTGACATGTGGGAAATTAACTTGAACTTTTGTCCATGAAAATGTGGAATCATTGCACGAAATGTGTCCAAATCCACTTAGAATAATTAATAATAAGTCAATGTTGACTGATAGAAAATGTAAAAGATTTATTTTCAAAATAATTTCAGACACATGTCCTTTTAGTCTTACTTTTAATATTACATTTCTTGTTATAACATATGATTCAACATAGCATTCCACAAAGCTATGTTGAATCATTGGCCACTTTATAAGGTACACCTTGCTTACACTGTATTGGACCCCTGCTGCCTTGATTGAGTTCTGGTGACTATGGAAGGCATTATGGTACAGTGAACTCATTGTCATCAATTGGAGATGACTGATAGGTCTGTAGGTTATCTGCTTTAAAGTGGGGTTATGCTAAAATATTTTTTTTAGCTTTAGACAAAGTCATAACGTTACTGCCTCATCAGAAATATACAAAGTGTTGCTTTGACTGATTCACGCATGTTTGAAAAATCCTTGAATTTCCCCTGGCAACCATTTGGGAGTGCCTTAAAGCATGGGTCACCTATTTACCAAAGACTCTGACTTGGAGCTTCAGCCACATGGAGCACCACTCACCTGCACCTCCCCCACTCAGCTCCTCCAGACTAGCAGCAGCAGCCGTTAGCAAACATCTGGTGGAACTGTGGATCTGCTGAGCTCATAATACAAACTGCAATGCTCCTAAGAATAGCTGTAAGCACCATCAGGGAATATCACAGAGAACTATTGTTGTGATGCTGGAGCGGGTATAAGGTTCTTAAAGAGACAGAGGCCAATTTCAAGGTGGGGTGTCCCTTACTGGGGTCTGGAGGGGTGCTGGTGCCTATCTCCAGCTAACGTTCCGGGTGAGAGGTGGGGTACACCCTGGACAGGTCGCCAGTCTGTCGCAGGGCAACACAGAGACACACAACCATCCACACATACACTCACACCTACGGACAATTTAGAGAGTACCCGGAGAAAACCCACGCATGCACAGGGAGAACATGCAAACTCCATGCAGAAAGACCGGGGCCGGGAATCGAACCCGTTGCTGCAAGGCAACAGCTCTACCAACTGCACCACTGTGCAGCCCCTTCTGTTGTTCATAACAACAGAAGGTAACATGACTGAGCTATAAAATGGCATTATGTGCTTGGAAAATACATAATGCCCCCTCTTTAAGGTTCTCTTTGTTATGTGTTCACAGATAGTATTGTAAATTCCTTAATTGTAATTTACGCTTAGTTGAGCAAGTGTTGCTCTTCTATCATTTCTGACCTGTCTGCCTATTCTACTCTGATCCCTGACATCAAGAAGCTTTTTTCATTCACACAACTTCAGATTATTGGATTTCTTTTTTATGAAGAGAAAAATCGACTTTATACAGCTAAGAGAAAATTCTCTAAAGGGATGAATCTGCTGGAAAAAAAATGTTAGTGGAAACGGAGAGTTTAGTAACAAAAAGAGCAACCCACTGATTACAGGACAAACGCCTTCTGTCGCCCCAGAAATATTCTTTACATCCATACTGTAACAATGTGGCTGCAATATTGAATTAATTGCAATTGTAATTAGTGAATTAATTTGAGTGTTTTGGGTCAACCTTTGACTTGAGCAGAGGAGTTCTTGTTCAGAAACTCCAGCCTCTCTTGATGAAGAAAGAGCCGGAGAAAAGAGGGTTAGCTCTCAGCTTACAGCTCAGTCTATGTTCCTGTAGTCAGGAACATATCCTGTTGGTCTGGTCACCTGTCCAGGGCCCACTTCTCCAATGGTAACTGGAGATGAGTATCAGTCTGTCGTATCCCTGAGTGGTGGGTTTTGATGTACGAGTGGGTAGAGAAAGGAGACAAATAGAAACATTAGCCATTACCAAAAATGTTCCTAATAAGGTGGGTTTTTAAAGAGAGATGTGCATTACATGTTTAAAGTTAGAGAACTTAGAATGCCATAAAACAGGGGGCTCAACAAACAGAGATCTCCATTTGTTTGTTAACAGGACACACTATCTGTAGTGTAAGATCTGTACATTGAGTACAAGACCTCATTATTGGAAGGTTACATGCCAGGTCATGTAGCCATGTGTATATATGAGGATAAGGCCATTTAAAGCTTTTAAGTTGGACTTTAAGATTTTGAAGTGATCAAATAAACCCAAGGAGGAGACTCTGAATAAGAAGAGATGTGCTTGTAACTTTTTTGTCATGGCAACAGCAAGAAATGCTGAAGGCTGATAAGGTTTCTGTATATGTTTATATATGTTTTTAAATCAAGCACTTAGATATATACTTTATTATTAGTCAGATTTTGATTAGGATTGACTATATATGGGGCAAAACTGTTGAGACGTCCTTAATTCCCCAAATAGTTTTGCTCTGAGCAATCAGATCATTTGTATTCCCTTAAAATGGATCCGACCTAAAAAGATCAAAACAAAAGTGAAGTTAACTTAATGACAGCAAGAAGGCATTTATTCATACGTCTACAGTAGTAAAGTCAACTTATTTATTCTCGTATTTCCCTTTATTTCTGGAGAAAAGCTTAGAAATTGCCTTCTTCCAAAAGAGACTCATTAGCACAGACATCCACAATCTGCTGAAAGCAAAGACTTTAAGGCAGGAAACGTGAGACGCACGAGGCAGTGAGGCTACATGCTCTGGTAAAAACATTAGAACATCAGTAAATCATCACATAGTTCATTACTGTTTCACGCTCTTACATATATTAGAACTTTAAAATACACCTTTCTTCAATTTTATTTTTTTTTTTTTGTACCATATAGCGATGTATGCTGGGATGTACCATGCCGGTTGCCTAGCAACTATTTCAAACCCAACGCCTCATTTTTTAAAGAGTTGATATTGCAATTAGAACTTTTCTTAAATTTCAACAGCAACCTAAGCCCCGACTTTCTAAATTTGTTGGATTTTAGAATGAAGATTTGTATGCAGCTATCTGAAAACCATGACGTCATAATTGCCACCTCTAACCTAAGCCCTAATCACATCTTACACAGTAAGTGCAGTAGCCAAGAAAATGCTCCCAATTCACTTTTGTCTTTGAAGCATTTCAGTGACTGTAATTTCCACATGGCTGCTGACAGAAGGGGTAGACAGGTAGTGGTCCCGTCTAAGGTTCCTCTCAGAAAACCCACCCTCCCACTCTGCAGTTCCATTAATTTAATATAAAGTAACTGATTTACTGAGCTCTTTCACCTTAGGAACATGCCTAGAACTGCAGGCGTTGCTCACCTTCATCTCAGTGTCTTCTGCTCTAGAGCCTTAAACAAATTTAGCAGATTCTGTCAGAGATTTGACATGTGTCTGCTAGTTGAAGGTATATATATATTTATGAAAGAGTTAATAGCTTAGGTTGCCGCTGCACCTGCAGGATTAGTGGCTGATGGTGAGCGGTTGTGCGCATCAAATAATTCAATCTTTAACTTGGACAAATGACCATAGAAATGACTCTTTAAATAAAGTAATTATATACTATTTATTTACACATATATATGTATAATTCCAATTTTATTCAACATATAGCAAATTATTGAATAACTTCCGCATTATTGTTTGATTTCTGTGGTTAAAATGTCATCTCGGACCTTTTCTAAGGTGGAAAACAAAAACCTTTGCCCAGCAAGGCTGTCAACTGGCATGTACATCTATACACTATTTGTTTTTTTTTTGTTTGTTTTTTTGGTAAGAATAAAAAATATGTATTTGTTGAATAAAATGATTTCTAGGAACTATAAGAAACTGAAAGAAATGCCTAATATGATTGGTAATGTCCCTTCTCCAACACACCTGAATCAAATAAACAGTTTGCTGCCAGGCCTCCGCAGTGCTGAGTTCAAGCATTTGATAGCATCATATTAGCGCTAGAGGACTGGCTTTGACTTCAAGAGGTGTGTATGTGTCTGTAATATACCATCAGATCATAGCTATTTAGGTTTTCTAAACAAAAAATGGCTGTATTTTAAAATGTATGCCTCACTTTCCAAATGGATTTATGTTCTTATGCATATTTGCTCCCTATCACCAATTTTTCAGTCACAATTTATACCCTTCCGGCGCAATGGAAACTTCAAAAAGACATCCGGAGGCGGGATGAAAGACAAGCCGAACGTTTGAATCCCTGTCAATAATTCACGGGGCTATTGAATTTGAAGTGCTAAATTACGGTAATGTCATTAACGTGCCACTCGGAAATAAATCACTGATAAGCAGAATCTGCCGTTCCAAATTTCAAGCTTTTGGTCCCTGACTCGGCCCCATGCATGTGTGCTACAGCTGCTGGTGTATCCTATGTTCTCCAGCCGCGGAGACCTTAAATCCCCTCAGGCTTTGTGTTGGCTCTGAGGGTTAACAGCTTGTTAAGCAGTGCCCAGTTGGCTGTCGCACGATGAGAACATCTGGTTTTCGATACCCCATGCCTCTCAAAGTATTTACTTTGGCGTGAGGAAGGGTGCCAAAATGTTTCAAAGTATATTGTCCACTGTGAAGTAGAGTGTCTTTCCAGAGGAAAAATATTGGAAAGAAACACAAGCGGGAATCGATGGAAAATCATCATACGCTATAGCTACTTTGCGAAATTTCTTTCTTGCGTCAAAAACGTGTTGGTACGAGCTACATGAAACCAAGTCTGCAACGCCTAAAAAATGTGATAAAAAAAAAAAAACGTCATTCAGCGTGGACGATCTGAGGAGACCTCCGAGCCAGCTGTTTGCGTAAGGCGTCCACTCGGCTGCTCTGTGTCAGTGGGTTTGTGGTGTGACTCCAGCAGCTTGGTGTCAAGCCAAAGGCAGCAGCGGACTGTGCGGTTCACGCCGGCGGCCCCCGCCTGAGGTTTATTTATCTAGGCATTGAAGCCGGTACACAGGAAACTCGGCAAGATTCCGACCCAGCATTCAAAACTGCTGATATTACCGAGAATATTACACTTCTCTGGGACGTTAGGAGCTTTAAATTGGAGCTGGAGAAACCTTCAGCTGCAGAGCTGGTATACTGGGACACTTTAACTTTCTGCTCTTTAAGAATGGCTGCACTTAAAAGTGATGCAGATCTCTGCCCTCCATTTCCTCTGATGCACGGTCTGAAGAAGGGTCCTGCTGATTTTTATTTATTTCTCGCACACACCTGTTAGTTCCCGAGCAACTATTTTCAGTCAGCCTTTATATCTTTCTGGGCAAGCGCAGACTCCAGAGAGATGTTTGGAGATAGGATGAAAGACAAAGAAACATGTGGACCCGTCACACAACAGGAAATGGGGAATGATGGGTTTGTTTCAATATTTACATAAAAAGTTTGCATTGGAAAATTTATTTCAAAGAAAGCTTTCGTGAAGCAGAACCGTTGGTCTCTGGTCGTGGCAATCAAGGTGTGATGTGCTTGTGGTGAAATGACAAAAAGTGGAAAACAACTGGCAGTCGCATAAATTGTGGTTTGGGCTTGTTTTTGACAATGCCTGCGATCATAAAACTCTCAGTTTTGTGCTTGAATTTACAAATGCGTGCAAAGAAAGAAACAGCAGAAGCAGATATTTAACTGGCTGTGTGTTTGGACAGCTTATTTACTCTCCTAAACATTCACTATGTGAGGAATGCAGCCAATTTCCCCATTTCTGTCCATGAGCCATTTTCCTTCAAGGAATACAGCTGCCTTGTAATCATGATCTGCATTTATAATGCCAACAGCTGCACAGAGAAACACATTTTATCTGCTGATAAAGAAAAGCAGAGTTTTGGCATTATGAGACCTTTAAATGACATTAAGATTCAGAAATGTTGCCATTAGGCGTTTCCAATTATTTTAATACTCGCTCATCAATTTGGTTGCTTCAGACTTCCTGATTCTAATAAATACATTTGCCGTGGTCTTACTGACAGGAATAAGGACTGCAAGACATGGAGAAGGACTCTAAACCAAGTTTTCTAATGGCATGCTAAAAATAGATTTGTTCAGAAAGTAAAAAAAAAAAATAAAAATTAGATGCGCTTAAAAGTAAGACAGATCTGACAGAACGAAAAATAAATGCATGCAGTGCAATTAGAATTACATTTTTCTTATTTGCCTTTGCCTATTCAGCTGCAAAGTACTGACTGTAAGTGTTTCACCAAATGCTTACACCTTCCCTACCACATCCTCTTCCCAACTCAGACTTGGATGAATGTGACAGCATCATATTATGTATCATATTGTATATCATTTAGCTACATGTAAGCTATGTTAAAACAATTTGCGGTGCTTCCTGCCTCAGTTGGTAACATCAGGAGGACATTTTGGAAGACCATACGCGGAGAGGGGAAGTTGAACTCGCGAGGTGAAAACAAACCCTGATTCTCTGTCACGGTTGGCAAAAGAGACACAGCTGAGTCTCTCGTCTGTTATTAGATCTGCTCTGTTATTCTTTGTAGATTAATTGGCGACATGTGTCCAACTTTTGCTGAGCACTTCTTCACCTCGTGGCTTAGATTTTTGCCGAGTTTCCCCTCGCAAGAGGAAGAAAAAGTCTAACATGATCAGAGGGGGGATTGGACTGAGAATGTAAGTGGGGATGTTTAGCGTGACGCCAGGAGATTCAATAAACCAACAGTGTGTGGAGTTGAGCCACAGAGATAAAAGCAGTGGGAAGTCTGTGGTGGCCGAAAGCAGAAGCCTCCGTGTTCTCAGCTTCACTG